AGTTGCGCTTACCATTTGCAAGCCCCAGTGGCTTTTGCCTATAGCAAACACAAAGAGCTGTTACACTATAGAGTTTGCCTTTGCATGTCCAAGTGGCTTGTCAGCTCTCATTTATATAGAAACTTTCTTTAAATAGAAGCTTGCCCAAGTGTTTTTTATATAGATTTGTTGATCAAAGCTTTACACATGTTCAGCACAGCAGAACAAGATCACACAACCGTTTGAATTCAGACTCTATTTTAATGTTCTTGGCCCTGTGCCTTCATGGCTGAAGTGCTCAGAAGGTCAATTCCCTCTTGCAGTAAATCAGCTTTAGAAGCAATCCTCAAGCACATTGCAAAGGATGGACTGTGCATTGGCAACCGTAAACAAATGAGGGAAGCAGCTGAGAAGCACCTGCAATCATGTTCATCTTATGGCCCTTTGATTGCCCACAAAGAGTTCACCAAGACTGATGGAACAGTTGCTGTACTGCCCATGGTGAATTTTTACTCTTTGTTGAGTGCTGCCTGCAAAGCCAATGGAAGCTTCTACCATTGCATCAAAGCAGCTCTCACTTCTTTGGGTAGTGATATTGGCAAGGAATGGAATTTGATTTTGTATAGTGCTGAATGTTTGCCAGCAAATGCACTTGGCAAGTCCAACAAAAAGGTTTGGGTAGTGTATTGCAGCTTTAAAGAGCCTGGCAGGGTAGCACTCAGTCACACACAGCATTGGCTTGTGTTGGCAATAGTGAGAAGCTCTATAGGCTCAACATTGGAAGGGCACATGGGACAAATCATGAGAGCAATCATGGAAAGCATCTTTTGCAGTGCAGTGGCATCACCAATGGTTGGAGTGCTGCTGCATGGTTTGCACAATGAGCAAATGAGGATTCACTTTCAGATGGGCTTCTTTGTGCAGGATGGTGCAAGCCAAAAAATCACTTTTGGCCTGAAGGGTGACAGTGGCAGCAATTATTGCTTGAAGTGCTGTGACCAAATTGTTTTCCTTGGTGGAGAAGAGCAAGACCCTGAAAAAGCAGTGCAGAGAACTATTTCCAAAAAGGACATGTTTCTGGCAACTGATGAAGAAGCTCTGGGCAGCTTTGACCGCCTTGCTGCCAAGAAGGGTATTGTCACCCCTCAAGAATTTCAGCAATGGGAACAATGCACTGGGTGGACTTATTCCAGTGAAGGTATATTATCTTCACCAGAGTTGAGACCATGGTTGAAACCTTGCACTCAGTTTGTCCATGACCTTATGCATGGCATGGCGTCAAATGGATGCCTCAACATTGGGATGTACCTTGTCTTGGAGCATTTACACACTGAAGGCATTCAATACTGGGCTGCCATGCAAAACTATTGTGCCTTGTGGTCTTTGCCTGCTGCTGTACAAAAAAGGTGTGTTCTTTGTCTTCTTTGTTCACACCTACAAAAGTGGACTCTCACAGGAAAGCTGGCAAGCTAAAGATCAGTGCAAGTGAAGTGCTCACTTTGTACCCTTTTATGCAATATAATGTTCAAAAGATTATACTTCAAGGTGGTGAATCTCCACAAGCAACTGCTTTCTTGCATCTCTGTCATATGATGGACTTGCTAGTGGCCATACCAATGGGATGTGTCAAGGGCTCACATTTTGGACAAAGCAGCTGAAGACATATTGAAATTTTTCAATCTTGCTGAGTGGAGTGAGCATTGTATCAAAAAGTTTCAATGGCTGTTGCACTATGGTGATGAGCTGTCGCAACATGGAATACTATTGCCATGTTGAACAATGGAAAGAAAACACAAAGACATTACAGCTATTGCTACCAGAATTCAAAACCTGAAGGGTTTTGAAATGAGTGTGTTGCTGGAAGTGCTTTCCCAGCAAGTGCACAACATGACACAGCAACCCAAAGCAGAGGCTGCGTTGGAAACCAAATCAATGGCCAGCAAGAAACTGATCTCCTGGTTGCAGACCCATCTGGGGCTTTTCAGCAATGAAATATACTCTTGCCACAATATGTTGCTGAAAGGGGGTGGCTCAGCGGCCACCAATGATGTTGTGCTGCTTACCAGTACCACTGGCAGATGGGATGCAGGCAAAGTGCTTCTGCATTTTGGTATTGGTAATGAAGCTTGGTCTTTATTGAGAACTTTGGAGCTAGTGGAATATTTTCCCAAAGATAGAGCAGCTCTGTGGAATGAGACCAGCAATTGGGTGCCTGTGCCAGCTTCTGAAATCTTGACAACTGTCACCCACACCCCCTACAAAGGTGGAGTGTTGACCTTGGTTCCTTTGCACCTGAGGTGAAAAACGCTTCAGCTGCAGCGTTGCTGATTCTCACCTGCTGCAGGCCTTCAATGCCTAGACTGAGCATTGCAAGCCTCCCATGGCTACAGTTTTTTGGCAAACCTTGCTAGAAGTTTTTTAAAAGCTGAAAAACAAAAAACTTGCCAGAGTAAACTTCTTCGCATTTTGCAACAAAATTTTTCACAGAATTTCTTTGTGAGTTTGATGAAAATTCTTGCCAAATTAGTTTTGATGTCCTGCCAAATTGGTTTTATTGTCTTGGAAGTAGTGATTTTTGTAATTATGTTAGATACACTCTAAGCGACTAGCCTACACTTAGTAAAAGTTAGCTAAACTATGTTAAACATGTTAAACCACTAGTAATCACCCAGCCCATCCAAGCATGTTTGCTTCTATAGAGTCTGGGCAGACCGTGTGGCGACGCGACGTTCGTGATTTCGCAGTGCCACTGGGGAGCGCGAAACAGGCTGGCGTAAACGCGGCGTGTTGCTGGTGAGCGGGATGATTTGTGGTATCAAGAGTGTCCCAAAAGAGTGCCCGCCAGAGCTTCCTACAAGAGTGACCCACAAGAGTGTCCTACAAGAGTGTCCCACAAGAGTGTCCTATAAGAGTGTCCTACAAGAGTGTCCCACAAGAGTTTCCTATAAGAGTGTCAAACAAGAGTGTCCCACAAGAGTGTCCCTTAAGAGTGTCCTACAAGAGTGTACAAGAGTGTCCCACAAGAGTGTCCCACAAGAGTGTCCCATAAGAGTGTCCCGCAAGAGTGTCCTCCAAGAGTGTCCTACAAGAGTGTCCCACAAGAGTTTCCGACAAGAGTGTCCCACAAAAGAGTTTCCTACAAGAGTGTCCCACAAGAGTGTCCTACAAGAGTGCCCCGTAAGAGTATCCCACAAGAGTCCTGTAAGAGTGTTGCGCAAGAGTTTCCTACAAGAGTGACCCAAAAGAGTGTCCTACAAGAGTGTCCTACAAGAGTGTCCCACAAGAGTGTCCTACAAGAGTGTCCCACAAGAGTTTCCTATAAGAGTGTCCCACAAGAGTGTCCTACAAGAGTGTCCTGCAAGAGTGTCCCACAAGCGTGTCCCACAAGAGTTTCCTGTAAGAGTGACCCACAAGAGTGTCCTACAAGAGTGTCTCACAAGAGTGTCCCACAAGAATGCCCGGCAAGAGTGTCCCATAAGAGTGACCCACAAGAGTGTCCTATAAGAGTGTCCCACAAGGAGTGTCCTACAAGAGTGTCGTGTAAGAGTGACCCACAAGAGTGTCCTACAAGAGTGTCTCACAAGAGAGTGTCCCAGAAGAGTGACCCACAAGAGTGTCCAAGAGCGCCCCGTAAGAGTGACCCACCAGAGTGTCCTACAAGAGTGTCCCACAAGAGTGTCCTACAAGAGTGTCCCGCAAGAGTGTCCTCCAAGAGTGTCCCACAAGAGTGTCCTGTAAGAGTGTTCCACAAGAGTGTCCTACAAGAGTGACCCACAAGAGTTTCCTACAAGAGTGTCCCACAAGAGTGTCCCAGAAGAGTGTCCCACAAGAGTGCGCTACAAGAGTGTCATTTGGACTTATGTAGCTTTTTGAACGTGTTTGCATTCGGGTTCGTGGGCTCCATCTTGTTCTTTGCAGTGATATGTTTCGCATTCGTGAGTGTTGCCATGTGCTCTCGTGCCCGACAGCTCATGTATGTGCGTGCGCTGGCGTGGTTACGCCCATCTATTGTGTTTTTTGTCAACCGACCCTCTATCGTGTTTTTTGTTAACCGGCCCTCTCTTCCCTCTACCGCGCGGTTTTTCCCTCGACTTTCTCTTCCCCTGTGATCGTGGGCGCTCTACCTCGGACCTTGTCCTTCTCGAACTTTACGCTGTTTGAGGTCTCTTGCCATGATAATGAGCACACCCTGTTTTGAAACCTCAGCCCCAGCTCTTGGCCCCACTCCGCATTCGACCCACTGCAGGTTTTGTCATCTCACCATGTCCGGCAGCTCCACAAGTTGAAGCTTCTAGTTCACCTTCGCAGGACGTTGCCTCATTCCTTCAATAGTGGCATATGATGCATGTGTCTATGGGGTTGGACACTGCGTTCACTCAAGAACTAAAGAGATGAGGCCTGAACGGTTTTAAGCAACAATCAACTGCACAGATGCTGTTCCTAAAGCGTTGCAACATTGAGTTTCTGCGTGCTGGCTGGCAAGTTGCAATAAACAAATGCACAGGTACCTGGAGGTTGCATTTTGTTTTGAGGACATGCAGAGGCCTTTGGTTGCGCGGTCTTCCAAGACCATTTCTGGTTATCAAACTCCGCACCCACCAGTGCCTGCGAAGAATTGGCCAGACACCACCATGGTTGCGCGTTGATGAAACTTGATTAGACATCACGGAATTTCCGAAAATCCAAGGCCAGAACTGCGCAATGCCAGAGCTGGTTGGGGGACAGCTTGAATGTTTCAGCTGCTCCTGGGAGCGTTTGCCTCAGCCGGCGTTGTAGAAGTATTTGATCCAAGTGAATAAGCGCGATTGATTGCTTTGCGGGCTGCCAAGGAACCACAGACCCTGCGAAAGATGTGAAGGCGTTTCCAGCTACAGTACATTGCCGAATCTTGCAGACGTATTGATTCACATCAATGACATGTCTTTCAGAGTTACGGTGAGCTTTGCTATCCTTTTCATGCCCACCTGAAAAAATGCCGATTCTGGTGTGCTTTGACAACCGTGAGGCCTCCATGACCAGCGACGAGGTCCTTCAAGCCATAAAAGCTCAATGGCAGGAAGTCTTATGTGGACATGCTCTTATGACACGTCACGGCTATGTGAGGCTTTGCAGCACAATTCTGTTTGCATCTGCTTGCAAAACACGGAAGCCGGAGTGCACCCTGTTGGTTACTTGTATAATGGTGGCTCCGCCCACACCAGCGTCATGTGGCTGATCATATAGGTGGAGCATTCTAATGCTTGTGCGCCCAGGAAACGGGAGCATGCAAAGGAGCTGTCTATTTTTGGCAGGGGTTTGGATGCTTTGGAGAAAGTAGAAACATGGCTGCTATACTGCACATCTCAGGACAAGTTTGCGCCCGTCCTGCCGTTCAAAAACATCAACAATAGCTACAGTATAAATTGTACTCATTGTAAGTTACTAACAATACCAGCGCTTCGGTTTGAGCGAAAGGAGAGTTTGCAACAGACATGACACCATTCAGTATGGATTTCCCTGAGCAGAGACGAAGACAAAATTCGCAAATTCAACAACAAGTGTCCAAGCTTAAAGACTTTGCACTGTTGCAGGCGGAATTAGCCGAAATGTGTAAACCATGGGCCAACTTCAGAGAGGCATATTCTACTTCGAGTTTCGAGATACTGTGTGCTGGCAGATAGCGGCGATTCCACACACCAGAGGCCGGCGTTATATAGCTCGGTGCTTTTATTCAATGGATTCCAGTCCAGGGGCAGCAAACAAAGGTATGGCAGTTAGTGATGCAAGAACGAGCCGGTCCATGCTGGAGGCCTTTCTTCTCTCTCGGTCCAAGAAGCTTCATGAAGCACGCAGTTTCTGGGTGTGAATGAGTTGATGGAAGTCACATCGGCCGGCCCTATCCGAACCCTCCATTTCGTCTAGGACCTCCACAGGCAATTGCATCCACATAGGGAATGCCCAGTGGAATTATTTTGGTGGTGGGGTCAGTGTTGAAATATTTTCAAAATAATTAGTATATATAAATTATTTGGCTAGCCTGTATGCAGGTGGTCAACATAATATTTATTGCTCATATGTAAGCCTTGAGCACTGTACATAAAGCAAAATCAGTAAATATTATTTTGAGAAATGGGCTCTAAATAATTTTGCTGTAAGCATGTCAGTGGCTCAGTGTATGTTGAAGGTTTAGGAGTATTTTAGTGATTCTGTCAGAGGTGGACAGGAGGGTAATCCACATCCAAAATAAATTTCACTTGGAATTTGCTGCCATGTATTTCAGAGTGAGGCAAAAGCAGGAATCTTGATTCAATGCGATAGTGTTATAAAATGCTTTCATTGGAAAGAACCTGTTTTCAAAATTTAAAAAGGAAAAAATAAAAAAAGTCAATCCCAAAAGTCAAAGCCAAAAAAAGTCAAATCCAGAAAAACCAGAGTCAAAAAAGAAAGTTAAATTGCCCAGATCCGATCTTTTTTGACGTTTTTTCGACCTTTTTTTGGTACGTTTTTTCGACTTTTTTTGACTTTTTTGGTACTTTTTTTGACTTTTTCGAGCTGTGGTGTACGGTTGACTTTTTTTGGATTTTTTTCGGTGTTTTTTTGACTTTTCTTGACTCCAGTAATCCGGCAAGGCGAGGAGCCACAGTTTTGACGTTTTTTTGACTTTTTCGAGCTGTGGTCTATGTTGACTTTTTTTTTGACTGTCTTTCGATTTTTTCTTTTCAATTTGATTTTTTTGACTTTGACTTTTCCTGTTGACTTTTTTTCCCTTTTTTGACTTTTTTTAAAATCAAGGATTCTGGCATTACCAAATGAAAGCATTTTATAACGATAGTGAAATATATTGAGCATCACATAGAACATCATCAAATTCTACAGAACGTCAGCGGATGCGGTGATCCACAACGTTTGCTTTCGTTGTCAGACTTTTCCGGTGTGAAGTCATACAAGCCGGCTCGCTTCAATATGTCGCCCAAAGTCTATGTTCAACTTGTTCGGCTCCAACTCAGCATCCTCGGCTTCACTCAAATCTTCCTCAGATTTGGTGGTATCCTTCTCCTCATGGCCTTTGAACTCAGGGTCATTCTGAAATTTCTCCAGCTCCTCCTGGATGATCTGACATTTGGCAGCAGACTGAATGACTCCGATTATCTCTTCCTTCTCGTCAGGCGCCTCCGGGGCAGCTGGGATGCTTCCAGCCTTCTTGTTTGAATCCGCAATCTGCTCCTCGCCTTCGTCGTCAGAAAACTCTTCGCCCATGTCAGTGCTGATGTCCGCGATGATGAGATCACAGCCCACGCTGCTCCACCATTCCCGCAAACCAGCCTTGATGTCCGATGCCTTCTGGTTCACCCTGGAAAGGCTGACCAGGCAGCACCTCGATAAGACACGTTCTTTGTTTTTGACAGCCAAATGAAAACCCTACATCACGCATCATCATCCTACATCCCTGCAAAAAAACACAGCGTTTGCAATTTCAGGCAAAGCCACACTTCATCCAAAACTTTGGACGCCAAAGGAACCAGGGCAACATCACCTTGAAATTGACGTTCAGACACCCTGTCAGGGCATGTCAGTGCAAAAGGTCTAAAAACATCTAAAACATATATATATATTATATATGATATATGTCAACAATTATGTGACAGGTGGGTGACCCACTCCCCACCCTTCAAAACAAAAAAATATGGTCTAAGTCTAAGATAGGTCATGATAGGCCAGGCCCCAAATTGCTTTGAGGCATAAACTTATTTGACACCTGGTTGAGGCCTAACTACCAGCTATATAGATAAAATAACAATGAAAACGGGGCTTTTGATCTACCATGATCTACTCCACACTTGCAGTTACAGTATTATATACCTGTTAAAATATATGCTGGATTCACCCACACTCACTTGCGAACGGTCCGACGGTCCGCCCCTCAAAGCCCTTCCACGTAGGTGGGGTGCTAGAGGGTAAACAGGAATGAACACATGCGATGTGAATTGTGAACGCGCACAACTATACACAGAAATTGTGTGAAAACACGACTCTAACTATTGCAAATTATGAATTAGCCAATTAGCCACGAACGCTCAGTCGTTGATGACGATGTCTGCTATAGAATGTTTGTTCCTCAAGCATTTTTTAATACGCTGGTACAAGCCATTGCGATTTTGGAATGGTATTTCAGCACACTCTGGAACCAGAGGCATGGGATGTGGAATTCGGCGAGAGTTCCAAGTGTACATGGTGCGGATACGATTGAGTTGGTTGGGACGAATAGTTCTTGATTATCTCAATTACTGCCACAGGATCTGGAAGCACAGGGCGGGATGAAATCCCACCCACAAGACTCTTATGATATCCCATTCTCACGAGTGAAGAGGCGCCGATTTTCTTATACTTTGGGAACAGAGGCTGTTGCAGTGTATTCTCCAAATATCGGACAACTGCACGAAGTGTGTTGGCTTGATGCCAGAGGCTTCGACTTTCTGGTTTCTGAATTTGTGACTCCTCTGACAAAAAAGGGTATGGTTTCGGAAGTTTTTCCTCTTTGTGATATATCCAAACCGGCAAGGCAAAACCTGTATCTAGTTGAAATGCTATAGCAAGTTCATACCAGGAAATACCCCAGTCGTTGGGTAGGCGATTCTGGTCTGGATGGTGCCATTTAAGCTTTTTCGTAAAACTCCAAACCCGAACGGCAGTATGTGCCCCAGCCGGGCAGGCTTGTGCAATGATCGTTTCTGAAGGTTTCAGCCTGAAGACCTTTTTCAGGCTTGTGCAAAAGCGGCTTCCAACCGTCTCAGTTGGGTTTGTTTCAAGTGTCCGTTTTGGTACACCTTTCGTTTTGTGCGTGTCATCCTTTGCGGACGTGCACTCCTCCTTGGTCTCTGCCCCTTTTGGCAGTAGACCAACCTCCAAAAAGCGAGCTCTAGGCTCAAGCCGCCTCAGGATCCGCAGACTTTGCACTGTCGGATCTCAGTCATCGGTCCCGTGACCGCATTGCACCGAGCATCGGTGTGGAAGTTGCCGAGCTGGTCCTCATAGATGAAGTTCGTCTCTCGAAGACTTCTCTGGCCTCTGGTGGCCCTTTGACAGGCTCCACACACCGGCTGTTCATGAACTCGGTTGGCCTTGCTCAATCCCCTGCAGCTCCGCTGTCTATGGAAGCACTTGCTGGACTCCGCGAACCAGATCTTCCACGTTGGCTCATTGGGGAATCGCCTCCTCCTCCCAGTCAGGGTGATCTGCAGATGATGCCCTCCAGGTAGGTCAGCTTGATTCGGCGGTTCCTCCTGTGGCTCATTCAGCGCGGGATCCGGTCTCCCTTGATGTCCATCTTCAATGCCTCCACTCATCCTGGTACCTCTTGGTGATGAGGATGAAGCACTCTGCCCTCCATGGTTCATTTGCTGCCATTCTCCATCACGTTGACGTGGTTCTCGATCTCCTCCTCCTTGAGGTCTGGTAGAAGTCCTTGTCCCGGAAGAAGATTGACCAGCTAAACGAGAGACCCTCACTCTACGCGTCGCCGGATCGTCCTCCACCCGGTTCCAATGCAAGCGGCATTTTTGAATGACCTTCATGAGCACCATTCCCAGCAACATCATCATGACGCTGAGGAGGTACAAGATCTGGTCACCCTCCACATTCTCATCAACGTTCTTGGTGACATTCTCCGCCATAGCTCCATGCACTTCTTTGAGGGCCGACAGCACCACGACAAGCCTCATGGCCTTTTCCAAGTGGTACTTCGCGACCAATTTCATGGCACGAGGTGCGACAATGCCCTTGTCCTCCTCATGCACCTCGTCAACTGAGTCAGGCTGCCATGACATCCCCATCCGCTGTCTCAGCTCATTAATCCGAGCCACTGGCAACGCCTTTGTGCCGATGTCCGCGATGAGCTCTCTTCCAGGCTGGTACTTCAGTTCCCATTGACCAGACTGGATCCTCCATTTGAGGTGGGCGGCCCGTACCTGCAAGTGTCTTGTACGCCACGCTCCAGTTGCACAACTTGCTATTGAGACTGCAGCAGTGTTGTCGCACTTGAGGAACTTCGGGACGTCCTTCGCCATCTCATCAACCAGACATGCGATGCTGTCCCCCACAACTACAGCTTCGATGACCTCTATGAGTTCGGCTTCCGCAGTTGAAAGGGCGGGGAACGGCTGCTTGCAGCTCTTCCATGCCACCGGTGCTCCGGCCACCGTCGTGATCACACAGCCATGGCTATGAGCACCTCCTGGAGCGAAAGAGGCATCACTCACTGACTCCAGGATGAAGTTGGCGTCTCTTCGGTACCACAAGCCCAGGCCCTGCGTGGCATTCAAGTGCCTGATCAGCTGGTA